AATTCCAAAGAACTGATGTTCGAGGAAAAAAACTAGACAAATAAGAGTTTTTGGAGCACTTAGGAACAGTAACAGAAAAAGGATGAGACTTAATTGAATGAGGAGTAACACAAGAATGAATTTTAGTAGATGGCACAAGAGACGCTAGCTCTTTTGAACAGTGCCCATTATAGTATTTGTAGAAAAGAGAAAGAGAAGCAACATTACGACGATGTGACAGAGGTTGAAGGTTGGCTGCAAGAGCAGGTCCAACTATGCGTTTTTGCACCTTGTCTAAAAGAGAAAGGACATCATTGAAAATCCGCCCCAGATGTGGCAACAGTATTCCATACAAGGCCGGATTTGAGATTTATAGAGATAGAGAGTAGAATCCAGAGTAAGAAAGTGACGAGCTCGATAAAGAGAAGCAACTTTAGCAGATGCTAATTTTGCAACGGATTTGATATAAGGTTTCCAAGAAAGATCAGAAGTAAGAGTTAATCCTAGAAGATGAAGAGTAGGAGACTCATCGAGTACATTACCGTTCATAAATATAGGAAGGTCTAAATTATTGCGATAACGATTGGCTGAAAAAAATTGAGTTTTATCTGAATTAAAGTTCACCAGCCACTGTGAGCCCCATTGCTGTAGCAGAAGTGAGATCCTTTTCAAGCTCAGATGCCCCCTGCAAGCAATCAGAAGGAGTTGGCTTCCTATTGTGACAAAAATAAATGGTAGTATCATCAGCGAACAATGCCACCTTGATGTGAGAATATCTGGAAGATCGTTAATGTAAATTAAAAAGAGTATAGGGCCAAGGAATGAACCTTGAGGAACCCCTGAGGTTACAGAATAAGAAGAAAAGTGCTGTCCATCAAGGACAACTTTTATACTGCAATTGGAAAGGAAGGATTCAATAATCTTAAAGATGTTTCCAGATACACCATAAGAAGAAAGCTTATGGAGGAGACCAGCATGCCAAACTTTATCAAACGCTTTAGAAATGTCAAGAGCAATGGCCTTAACCTCTCCACCTTTATCTAATGCGCGATAAAACCTATCGGTTATTACTGATAGCAAATCAGCCGTAGAACAAGAAGATCGAAATCCATATTGATGATCAGAAAGTAGGTTATGAGATTCGAGATTAAGTGTTTGTTAATTAAAGATTCAAAAACCTTGCTTATGATAGGAAGAAGACTAATGAGACGGTAGTTAGGCGAATCGGATCGCTTTCCAGAATTTTTAAAAATAGGGATAACAGAAGTTGCTTTCCAGCAGGTTGGAAAACAAGACTCTGATAAGCACTTGTTAAATAGTTTTGAAAGGATAGACGACAGCTCCGGAGAACACTTCTGCAAGACTATAACAGGTATGTTGTCCGGGCCGCAAGCTGTAGAAGAGTCTAAGCAGGAAATCACTTTAGATACAGAAGCTGGAGTGATACGAGCAATGGATCAACCTGTTTGACGGCTATATCAGGTAGAACGCAACTAGTGGCATCAAAAGATGATATTGATGAAAAGTTCTTGGCTAACAATTCAGCTTTGTCTTTTGGTGAGGTGACAAAGTCTGAACCGTACAAAAGAGGTGGAATTACAGACTTGCCCTTATTATTGATACTATTAAAGATTCTCCAGAAGTCACAAGAGCCTAATTTTTGTGATGAAATACGAGATTTCATGATCTGAGAATAGCGGGCTTTGGCGTTAGACAAAACCTTTTTACAATGGTTCCTAGCAGTAATAAACAGACGTCTGTTTTCTGGAGAATTGTTTTGCTGATAGATATGGATATGATATATATAATGGTTTTGATTGGCAATTGCAGCAGCACAATGTGAGGAAAACCATGGAGAAGAGTGAGGCTTGACCTGGAATTGTCAAGAGGGAATAAAGGATTCCATGGCAGCCTGAATCCACGAAGTTATGTAAGAAGCACATTTGTCAACAGAGAGACAAAAGATTTCTACCCAGGGGCCATCACGAAGAAAGTCACGGAAAGAGTCCCAGTCTGCTTTAAGGTAGTTGTAAGATGTACAATGATAGGGGGATTCTGATGGTAAAGAAGAATGAGATAATAGTTTTAGAGAGACCAAACCATGATCAGAAGCACCTAAGGGTGAGTGTGAAGAAACTGAGCACTGACTAGGATCAGAAACAAGACATAAGTCGAGTAGAGAAGTTGAAAAGTTGGAAAGAGAAGTTGGAAAGTTGACTATTTGAGTTAGGAATTGAGAAAGACTAAAGTTGTGGGCCTTAATGCCTGCAGAGTCACTGACACTAGAGCCAAGCCATTCAGTGTGATGAACATTAAAGTCACCGACAACAACAATATTGGCTGATGGATAAAGAATGAGGGCTTGGTCAATATAATCAGAAATAACATTAAGAAGAGTGCAGTCTTGGGATGAGGGAGAGCGATATAGAACAAAGAGAAAGGTGATAGAGTGAAGTGGTGCTAAGCAAAAGCACATAAAAGAGTAGTCTGTGGGTTCAAACCTAGTTTCCCGACAAATGAGTGAATTCTTACGAATGTAAATGCCTAGGCCAAGCATGTGACTATTGGAGTCTTTACGAATTAAAGAAAGATAACCATCAACACTAAGATCACAAGATGAGACAGCTGAACTCAAATTAGTCTCACAAAGAGCAAGTAGGTCTGGTGAACTTTGCAAGAGATAAGACTCAACAGAAGAAAAGGTACTTCGAAGACCACGAATATTGGTGAATGATAGGTTTAGCGAACTTGGTGATGACTGTGGTTTTTTGTGTTTTATAGTTTTTGTTACTTTATTCATTTTTAAATTTGTTAAAGAACTTGACTTGAAACATAGATAGTACTCAGTACACTGCTTTATAGCCCAAGCAATTGCCTCATTTCCATTAATAAACCCTAGGTCGTAACAAAGGGCTCCAATGTGGCCTTGGCAATGCACACCAAAAGTACAAACAGAAACACCATCCATGAGCAACATGACACTGTTAGTACTCTGATATTTTTCAGCTGTTGATGGAATCAGCTTCTCTGAGAGCTACCACAGAGTTCGGGAAACCTGACTACCAGCTGGCCTCAGAACCAAAAAACTGAGTTTTAGAGCTGTACCCTCATTTGAAGATAATAGAATGAGTTGCCTAGTCATAAAAACAGAGACAAAAGCAAAACCTATGAATTGAGTCAAGAAGATCCAGCGTTCAACATCCTAAACTGGAAACAATGTATTAAAAATACATCTGCACCAGCCTAATAGATGAAGAAGGGGTGCGAGGCTGGTCAACAGATAGAATCTGTTTACCCCTTTGCCTAGGAGGCCTTCTTGTCTTTGCCTAGGAAACCTTCTACAAGACAGCAGCCGGATGCATTTAACCTTTGCCCAAGATGAGTATTTTTATCGAGACACCATCTCTAGCCTTTACTCAACCAAGAGCCCCAAGGCAGGGGGTGTTTTATGTTGGAATTTGCATCTCCTAGCCTTTGCCTAAAAAGGCATATCCTACAAGGCAGCAGGACATGAAGCAGATTGTACTGGGTTACATGTTACCAGTAGCAGGATAAACCTGACCTGACCATATCTTTGATCATTTTTATTGTTTTAATTGTTGTTGTATAACCACAAACAATTTTGATCTCTAACTTTCTCATTAGTTATGATTGCAAAGAATGCTAAAGAAAATTTTTAATTAAATCTTTATTTAAAGACTTTTTAATTTGAGTAATCTTGACACTCAAATCTTTTTGACGTATCAAAATATTATATTATTGAGTTCTATCTTATATATCAAAATATTTCATTATTAATTTCTATCTTATTATATCCAAATATTATATTATTAAGTTCTATCTTATATATCAAAATATTTCATTATTAATTTCTATCTTATTATATCAAAATATTATATTATTAAGTTCTATCTTATATATCAAAATATTTCATTATTAATTTCTATCTTATTATATCAAAATATTATATTATTGAGTTCTATCTTATATATCAAAATATTTCATTATTAATTTCTATCTTATTATATCAAAATATTATATTATTAAGTTCTATCTTATATATCAAAATATTTCATTATTAATTTCTATCTTATTATATCAAAATATTATATTATTAAGTTCTATCTTATATATCAAAATATTTCATTATTAATTTCTATCTTATTATATCAAAATATTATATTATTAAGTTCTATCTTATATATCAAAATATTTCATTATTAATTTCTATCTTATTATATCAAAATATTATATTATTAAGTTCTATCTTATATATCAAAATATTTCATTATTAATTTCTATCTTATTATATCAAAATATTATATTGTTAAGTTCTATCTTATATATCAAAATATTTCATTATTAATTTCTATCTTATTATATCAAAATATTATATTATTAAGTTCTATCTTATATATCAAAATATTTCATTATTAATTTCTATCTTATTATATCAAAATATTATATTATTAAGTTTTATCTTATATATCAAAATTGATTTAATTTGATGTTTTTTAATTTTCTTTTTATTTTATTGATTTAAAAAGTATGTTTAGATCACCTATAACTTCCTAAAATTTACTTAGAGTATTTATATGTTGTTACTAAAAGTTTGATATTGATGTAGTACACTTTTACTTGTAAGGCTTACATAAGGTGGCTTTATTATATGTTTCAGCAAAGATGGGTAAACACACAGCAATTTTGAATAAATTAACAGCAAATTTTTTAATACCATTAACTTATTCTATAGTGTTATTTATTCCATTACATATAATGAAATAAATTACACTATAAAACAAATTAATTATATATTATCAAGTTGTAATTATATTTAAACTCTTCTTTATTTATAGGTAGCATAATACTTTTAATTACATGCAAATTTTTCAATTAGTGGATACTTATGAATTATGTCTTTAGGACATTATTAAAATCCTAATGAATTTTTTTTAAATTTATCTTGTTACTTTATTTTTTTTTACCATTTTATAAATTTCCTTATTTTTGTTTTCTCAAAGGATGAAAGTCTAAGTAAGGTGGAAAAAGCAATATTGGATGAATTACAATTTTTGTCAAGCAAGCACGATTCAACTTTGCTACAAGCTCTTCAGAATCCAACACTTAAAGACTTAAAGAAACGATACAGAAATTATAATGTATGTTCATTTGTTTTTATTTTTAAAAAGATAATATTGTTATATAACAAGTCATTTTATATATTAATGTGTTATTTATAACATAAATTTATTTTTCCAGGTATTCTTTAAAGAGCTTGAAGCTGCAACTGAAAGAATTAACTCTGTTAAAGTGGACTATGAATGTATTATGCAATCAAATAATATTGCAAGTGTAGATAAGGAGAATGTAACATTATCATTTGAAAAATTGATTAATACTTATAAAACATTGCAATCAAATGCTCAAGTTGCACGCAATGCGTTAGTAAAACATTATTTTTATATTTTTATAAAAATCTGTTGCATATTATTAGTTACCAAATCATGGTAATTAATAATATCCAATTAATTTAACTTTTTTTTGAATTATTATTTGTTAAAAATTATTTTAATAGAAAAATTGTTCAAGGAAGTTTTAGAAGTGAAATTTTCTACAATTTTTTTTAATATTCAAAAGAACAATTTTTTATAATTTAAATATATAATTTAAATAATATATTTAAATATATAATATAAATATATAATTTAAATCTACAATTTTTTTTAATATTCAAAAGAACAAGAAATTTTCTAGGTGATTTTAACAATAAAAGGTTATGAAAGTCTGAATGTTTTTTATATAGTGTTCAATCGAAATTAGTAAGTCATCTGATAGAACAGTTTGATCAAGTTTTTGAAGTAATCAAGCAGGTGAAACATGATCATGATAATATCTCTAAAACATTAAATGATGAACATTCATTGTTAAGTGAAGTGCAAGAAAAAAATGTTTTGTGTGAGGTAAATTTTTTAGTTTTTAACTAATTTGTATATTAGTGATGTTATACAATGTTTTAAAGATCATCGATCTGACACCTGGCAGTTTTTTTACTCTGGTAACTAAAGAAGATCAATGTGTTTTATCTTTATTTAGAAAACTATTGCAGTTTTATCAGAAATGAAACCTTTAGTGAAATCTTTAAATGATCTTAGTGAACAACTTTCTCGTGACCTATCAATAAATGAACCTGTTAAAAAGAAGTTACATATGGCAGGCAACAATGTTCAAAATGAGTTTGAAATTCTCATTGTTTCTTTGCAAAAGCTATTAGAAAGGTATATTTTCAATTAAAATTATGTTTTTTAACATAATTTTTTTTTTTTTTTTTTTGCAAAATTAATAAATTTAGAATAATTGCTTAAAGGAAATTTAAACATGTTTTAAGTGGTTAAAAAGTGAAAAAAGTTTAATGAAATATTTGATTACTGTATTCTCCTTCCTAAAGCTGAATGGGAAGTGAGGTGCATCTATTTTATAGTCAATTTTTTTATGTCTACAAAAAAGAGTAACGTTACTATAATTGGATTTTTTTTTTTTTCATCTCTCTCTTGCACAAAACCTTTCTTTAAATCCACACTTTAAATTTTTTTTTTTTTTTTTTTAACATATCTTATGTCTTTTTACATTGCACAAACTTACAACTGAGAGTTATATCAATATTTTTAACATTAACAGAAGTTATAAAGATAAGATGCTTTTTCTTATAATTTCAACTATTTGTTCAAAAATATTTAAAGATATAGAAAAAACTCTTTTTTAACAATACCATTTGACAGAGAAACTGTTTTTTTTTTTTTTTTTTTTAACAACATTTAACAAAGAAACTTTTTTTTAACTGATTTTACTGGTTTTATTAGTTCCCTAATTTTATACAATTTTCTTGATTTTGCTATTTGCTGTTACCTCATATTAGGTCTTGTTAAGAAGTTATGATTGAGTAAAATTGAGATTTCACCTACGTGTTTAGCTATTTATGTTATGCCAAAACTTTTTGCAATTAAGTTATTTAAACAGTCTTTTAAATAGTTTATGCAAAAAACATTAAACAGTAAATAATTGTTGTAAAAAACATTTTCACCGCAATTCTTTTTATCAAATTTTATTTTTATCAAGTTAAATTTGATAAAAAGAAAGCTCTTTTTATCAAATTTAGTTTTAGTTCATTTTTTATAATCGTTTTATTTTCAACAATTTTGTATATTTATAGTTTAATTTATTAATTAATTTATTTATTTTTTATTAATTTATTATTATTTATATTTTCAAATCAATAAATTTTTTTCATCCCGTTGCTAAAGTGCTAATGCACACAAGTGCTTTATATTTATAACTAAATTATATGCATTGCTGAATAAACTATAATGATTTTTTTAGTTTTGAAATTGCTTTTTAACAGAAATTGCTTTTTTCATTATCATTAAGTTTTTAGATTGATCTTAGAATGAATGCCTATTATAAAAGATTAAATAGTTTATGAGTAGTAGGCAAAGATTTTGTTAAAGCCAAAATTTTACAATGGTTGATTCAGTTGTTTGTTTGTTTTTTTTTTTTTTTTTTTTTTTTTTTACTGTTTAGAATTTCACCTTGAAACAATTGTCCTCTTATTTAAAATAAAAACAACTAAATTGTGAGAAAGCAAACATAAGACAGAAGTGTTTTGTTATAAATGTTTTAAGAAATAAATAGTATAGTAATAGTTTAAATAAGTATAAATTTTTTAAAATAAGGAATTTTTTTTTCAAGCATTATTTAAATTTCATTGATATTTTTTTTTATAAAAATATTGTTTAATTTAAAAATATTTTATAAATATTTTATAAAGATAAAGACTTTAAATGATTTTTAACCTTCATATTAAATTGAATTACAATGTGGTACTTTAAAATATGCATCTGACGTAATTTAACTTGTAACTATGTAAATATAATACATGGGATAGTGGTGTAGTGACAGAGCGCTCACTTCATGCAATCTCACAACAAGGCCTGTTATATAGTTATCACTTCTTTTTTTCGTATGTCTTAATGACCCTTAAAAGTAGGAATTGTTATATAATTTTGGTAAAAACTTAAATTTATTTACAGCTTTTTTTATTAAATTAAAAATTTAAATTAAAAATTTGTGAAGTAACAAAAACTTTATAAATGTTAAAATAGTTTTTTAGAATTAAATTATTTATTAATAGATAAGATTTAATTGATTAGCTATAAATGTTTTTAGCAATGAAAAATCTTATATAGTCTATTATAATATCACTTATTAGAATTGTGATATATAAAAATGCTGCTTGTGTTATTAGGTCTCAGAAGGTTCTTGATGAAAAAAAGTTTAAAGATAAGATGAAAAACTGGCTTTCTGGAATCCAGTCTCTTCAAATATGGCTAAAGCAGTCACTGCAGCTCAAGATAGACTTTAACTCTGAACAACTTGATAATGAATTAAACAAAATCAAAGTAAATTTTGTTTTTTAGTTTTTTTTTTTTTTTTGCTACTTTTAAATTGTATTTATTAATCTACTTTTAAATTTTTTTTTTTTTTTGCTTAAAAATTGTACTTTTTTGGGGGATAATTTTTTGAGGTATTTTTTCAAATTTTTTTTTGGGGTAATTTTTTTCAGGTTTTTTGGGTAAATTCAATTATCTAAAAAATAGATAATATTCTAAAGTTGCAAATTTATAAAACATCAATCGTCATTTTTGATTATCTTTTTATTACAAAATTCAAGTTTAAACTAAAGATGCTGTGTCTAAATATATTATCATTTCAGGCTTGCTTATCTGATGTTGATTCAAAGTGGAACGATTTTTTAAAGTTAACAACAGAGTGGAATGAAACACTTTGTGACATAGTAAAAAATAATGATTATGCTGTCATGCAAGAAGATGTGCAGAAGGATTTTGCTGATTTACATAAAATGCTTGTTCATTCGAATAACCAGTTTGTTTTTAAATTGTTTTTTATACTTTTTTCTTATACATTTTGAATTCATAAAAAGTAACAAAATAACTCTTTAGCAACCCTTGCAGGAACATAATGTCCAATGCAGGTCTTAAAGACATCCTACAGGTTTTGGATGTCCATAAGGCATTGTATAGATGTTTTATATATATATATATATATATATATATATATATATATATATATATATATATATATATATATATATATATATATATGTATATATATATATATATATATATATATATATATATATATATATATATATATATATATATATATATATATATATATATATAAGTAAGGAAAACAGGTTTTTTATGGTACTAATAGTTTTATGCCTACAGGCAACATCAGCCGTTTAATACAAAACTAGACATAAAAAAGCCGTTAAAGTATAAAGTTGCAGTGGAGTGTGCTCACTTGTCATTATATAATGCTATATTAAATAATATAAATAAATCCAATTTATTTATTATTGAGCACCCTAATACATTCAAGAGTTATTGTTTTGCAAATACAAAAGATAATATAATGTGTGTGTGTGTGTGTCTTTGTGTGTGTGTGTGTGTGTGTGTGTGTGTGTGTGTGTGTGTGTGTGTGTGTGTGTGTGTGTGTGGAAAAAAAAGTACTAACCATGATATGAACTCTTACATAACTTGTATCTACTAGTACAGAAAATTGGTGTATATAATAATAATACAGAGTATAATTGTCTAACCTCTGAGGTCAACATATTTTTTCAACTATGTTTTTAATATTTTTGATTTTAATATCTGTGACTTATTGATATGAAAAGCCTGATGGCTTAAAAAACCGGAGATGGTTTTTTTAAATTAGTCTAATTTTGCATTAATTTTTTGTTGTCATGGGCTTAAAAATATATTATTATTATTTTAAATATAGTTCCTAAAAAATTGAACAATATTTTAACATTGTTTTAATAGTTAAATATTAAAAACTAAAAGTAATGATTGATAAAATTTTGCGTGTTTGACAGCCATATTAAAAATCAATATTATGCAACTTCATAGCTTATCACAATCACTGACGCGTTTCACCCTTTCAGGCTCATCAGCGTGGTGATGTGATAAGGTGTGTAAACACACTAGCTAACTCAACAACGGCAGATTATTGATACTTGTGGTGCTACAATCCTACACAGAGTTGTGAAAAAAATCTTAATATATGAAGAAACCTGACTTGGCTAGACAATATATATGCAGAAACAACTAATCATCCTCTGACAAAAATATTTAGTATACAACTTTATGTAGATTATCTACCTCTGATAATCTACATAAAGTTGTTTTACATTAAGCCCAACTGATGGCACATGATACAATCAAGTAAAATAATACAATTGATGTGCAAAGTTTAAAAACTGTTTTAAATCCCATATAATTGAACTATACTGTAACACCTGAGTCTCTAAGATCATTTTCAAATGCTCAAAAAAATAATATTTTTAACAGAATAAAATAAAAGATTATTAATAAAAGATACTTATTAGAAAAAAAAGAATTTTAAAAACTTCAACTTTTATGCAAGATAAAACTGGACTAATCTAAGAGAATTTCTTAACAAAAAATTTCTAAAATCAAACTAAAATAAAAGTTTCTTTAATCAATGTTGACTTGAGTTAACTCTTAATTATTTTGATTTTTTAACACAGTTTAATTGTAAAAGTTTTGATTTTGTCGCTTATAAAAGTTCTTATAAGCATTAGGGGTTTTTTATTTTGCTAATTTTATTTTTGTTTTTATCTATAGTTGCTAGAATAGTTTTACATAAGTCTTGTTTGATTTGTTTTTTTGACTAAAATATTAGTTTGTATAAGAAAAAAGTGATGCAATAGTTATCAATAGAAACTTAAACATAATAAAGTTTTAATACAATATATAAATATAGTGATATTCTTTTATTTTAAAATGTAGTTAATATTTTTTTTAAATCTTAAACTTAAGTTATTTTTTATGTGATGATTTAAAGCTGCCTCAGGTGTATTCAAAGTTGCCAGGTTACTCGCCAGGTTAGGGCGGCTTAAAATGCATTTGTGCATGTTAATGAAGTAAAAAAACTTTATTTTCAGCTTAAAGTTCATACACTGCTAATCATTAATAATTTATCATTATTTTGACTAATCAGAAGAAAAAAGTGGTTTAAAAAAATAAAATATTTGTTTATAAAAAAAGTGTAAAAAATTTTTAAAGCTGTCTCCTTTTTCCTTATACATAGTAAATTTGAATAAAAATTTATAAACATATATATGCATATTATATTATTTATAAACATATATATGCATATATATATATATTATTTATATAAATAAATATCAAATAAATGCATAAATATGTAATATATTATATCCAGTCTGGATTGTAAAAAATCCTTTGAGTCTTTGCAATATATATTTTTTAAATGTAGTTTTGTTGATGCATAGGTAACAAGCTTGCAAACTAATGCATTTTTTATGCGTATAAATTATACCAATTTATAAAGTAAAGTATACTCATTTATTTGCCAAAATTTTTCATCTTTTAATAACAATTTTTTTTTTCAAAAGGTGTGAAATGATGATCAGTGAGAACCTGATAAAAGATCAAAGCAATATTTTGCAAGAATGGAAGAGTTTTTTTAATCCAATGTATGAAGAAATAAATCTACTTGTGAATAGCTTAGTTAAGCATCCGATGGAAATGGATATCATATCAGCTAAACGTAGAAAACAAAATATAAAGGTTTAAACTTTTCTTTTTTTTCGATTTAATATAATTTAAAATAAAGTTAATAATATTTTAAAATATTTCTTCATTGTTGTTTTTTAATTTTATTTTTGGTTTCAGGAGTATGAAAATAAAATAAGCAATTACATGAAAGAAATAGAACTTTTAAAGGAAAGAAAGTTACGTATTATAAAACAGAAAGGATTTTCTGTTGAAATTGAAAGTACTATTGAAAAGGATATTGAAGTAGTTCAAAGTTTACTTTTAAACGTCAAAGTTGCAGTTAAAGAATTCAATAAACTGTAAGTTTGATTGTATTTGGTTTTTTTTTAATATTTCTTTTCTCTTAAAATGTAAACTTATTATTAATTATAAAATGTATGTGCAATAAACATTTATAAAAAAGTGGTTGGTATATTTTTTGTAGATTTTTTAGACACTTTTAGGTCAGCAGTTAGGTTAGTATTAAATGCCAACCCTAATTCCAAAAGCTGATATATTTGTTGTTGATATATGTATTTGTTTAATATATGATATATGTATTTGCTGTTTTTAGTTTATATTGTTTAATATATGATATATGTATTTTAGTTTTTAATTTCAAAAACTTTTTTTTTTTAATTTAATTTTAGCTTTTTGGATGATTACCAAAAACTTAAAAAAAGGGAAAACAATTTGTTTGGTAACTTTGTGAAAAAATATGAAATCGTAATGTTATGGATTCAAGAAAATGAGGCTAACATTGAAAAATTTATGTCAATGGAAAACATTTTTGATTGCTCAAAAGAGGTTTATTATTCCTTTTTTTTTTTTTTTTTTTTTTTTTTTAATTGAATTTAGTTTGATGGAATGCAGTATAGTAAAACATTGAATGTAAAATTTAGTTTCAAATGAATCTAAAGTAGTTTTGCAATTTTTATTAAAGTTTTTTTCTAATGCTAAACAATTAATTATGTATAACAATTAATTATGTAAATATAAGCCTCTCTATCATAGAAAATCATAGATTATTACAAGCAAAATCTATAAATTGTTTATAATCTTTATTAAAAATACTATATTAAATATGTAAAAATTAAAATAAATATATAAACTGTAATTTACAAACGAAAAATTATGTTAAGTATAAGTTAAGTATATATGTTTTAAGAAATAATTTATAAATGGAAATATTGACAATCATGTAATAGTTTTTAGCTCGGTTTAAATCTAAATTTAATTATAACTATAAATATACTTTAAAATACTTTCAAAATATTAATAGTTTTTATAAGATTATAAATAACAATACATCTCATTAAAAGCAATGGAGTTTAAAGTAATTGTAAATTATTTTTTTATATTTGTCAATATTTGTTGTTCTAAAAAAAAACATATTTTTTTGATAAAATAAGCTCTCATTTCAAGTGAAAAATATAATGATGTATATATTGGCATGTGCTTTATCTGAGTGTAGAAAAGTGAATTTTGTCAATATTTTACAATTTTTTTTTTATTTACGCAATTTATTTTTAGTCTACATTTAACCCTATAATTAGACATTAAACCCTATAATTCTATAATTAGAAATGACTAGAATGCAAGAAATGCGCTGACTGCAAAACTTTTTTATAAAAAATAGCGACAGGTAACTCAAAAAGTCTGCGAGCAACCAAAATTAACAAACTGATTACTTTCAGTCACCCTTTTGGCAAACAAACAAAAGTCTGAGTGTACACTCCTGATGTGTGTTTTGTATATAGAGTAGTGTGCAAAAATTGATAAACAACAAAAAATTTCAAGTAACTTTTTACTTGAAATTTTACTTTTACTCAACTTTTTGCATTTTCACTGACAATAAATGAATTTTTTGCCTTTTTTTTTTCTGTGACTACATAGTATAAGTAACTCTAAAAAAATGATAACTTGTAATGGATAAAAGAAATTTATTTTTTATCGCAGTACATTAGTATTTTGGTGGATAGCCTCTAGATTTTGATACTGCATGGCAAAGATAAGGCATTGAGTCAACTAAGTTAATAAGAACATTTCTGGGGATATTTTCCCAACATTCTAAAAGCATCTCTAATAAGTCGAAAATAAGAATATTTCATTCAGTCGATTTTTCCTATATGCGTTCTGTAGGATTTAAGTCTGGGCTTTTTCAATGTCTTGCTGAAAAATCAGGCCGGGGGTCATTTTTTCCGTATGGCGACATTTTTCAACATGGCACAGTTTCTGTCCTGTAAATCCTCATATGTAGCTAATTGAGGATTTACAGCAACTTGTATATTTTCCACTTTGTACCCAATCCATATTAGGTCACTTTTACAACTGATAACTCACTAAGTTCATATCATCAATGCCATCACTCATGAACAACTTTAAAATTTTGTCCATTTTTGAAAAAGTTTTTTTGTAAGAAGCTTTTTTTTTTAAATGCTACATCTTTTGATCGAAAATATATATTGAGAAATAGTTTTCAGTATGTAATGTATTTATTATTAAATCACATGAAAAAAGGCAAGTTATGTTATGAGCTGCTGAACAAATTGCAGGGAGTGAAAAGGTTAATTTAAAAATTATCTCCAGTAAATCAATTTTATAAATGTATAAATATAGTATGTTTAATATATAAATATATTTTTCTTAATAAAATTTAGGAGCTGTTTATAATCTTTTGCGTGATTATATTTTCAAAAAAATTTAATTTCTTCTTTTATTTACAAGTTATCATTATTTTGATTTAACTATTTTATCTAGTCACATGATTTAATTTTATCTAGTCACATGATTTAATTTTATCTAGTCACATGATTTAATTTTATCTAGTCACATGATTTAATTTTATCTAGTCACATGATTTAATTTTATCTAGTCACATGATTTAATTTTATCTAGTCACATGATTTAATTTTATCTAGTCACATGATTTAATTTTATCTAGTCACATACAATACAAACAATTAAACGAAAACAAACAACAAATCACATATAGTCACATATAAGAACAATTGTTAAATATAACCTTTTGCCTTTTAACTGAAAACAATTTGTTGAACAATTGTTTTCAGTTAAAAGTTATAAACAACAACGATTACCAGATTATTTTGTGCTTACTGATTTAATATTTACATTCTTTTTGTTTATGTTTTAAAAAAAAAACAAAGTTGTTTAAAAGTTTTGTAGAAATGATTCTTAATTTTGTCGTGTTATTTTATTTATTAAATTTTGCAGTGTTATATTATTTATTAAATGAAAGTCTAATTTAAAAAAAGAAAATCAGATTTCGACATTAAAAAAGTAAATAAAAAACTTTTCAAAAAATTCACTTCTTTTACCATTTTTATTTTATTTTGAAATAAAAAATAAATTTTACACAAACACAAGCACACATGCACATTTAAAATCCATGGTTTTGCACTTGTTAAGTTTGGATGGTTTTCTATAATACTATTTTTTTATTTACATTCAACATTTTTTATATTTACATTATAAAAGAATTAAGACAGTTTTTACAACCCAACGCCATTTATATACATTTTGGGTTTAGGTACAAAGTCTTTTAGAAGAAATAATGAAATACCATGAAAAAATTGAAAGTATTCTGAATGAGGGCAATCAAGCATTGAAATCAAATTTTTTTGGGAAAAGTAAATCTGAAAAAGTCAATCTTCAGATGTCATCTCTTGCAAAGAACTGGGATAAGTTGGCAGATTCAGTTAGTTTATTGGAGCAAAAGTAAACTTTTCTAATTTTTTTTATAATCCTATTATGTAATAAAAATTGTCTGTAACATGTCTTATTTATTCTAAAAAATTTATCTTAATCTTTCATGGTAGGTTTAAGTTGCCTAAAGAGGATTTTGGAACTGATGGCACATCAAAATAGTTTTTTTTTTTTTTTTAAACAAATAAATCAATTGCAAAGTCAAATTAAAATATATTTGTAGACTTCAAAATTTCCATTGATTTTAGTTGTATTTAAATAAAGTTTTTCATATGTATTACTGACTTTTCATATATATTACTGACTTTGTATATTACTGGGAAGACTTAGTATTTGTTCAAAACTGATTTTTCATATTTCTTGATTTGCTAAAGTCAGGATTAAAACAATATTATTGCTTTTAGCTTCTGTTCTGTTTTTTTTCTTCTGTTCTGTTCCCTGCAATAAACTACAAATAAATTTTATATTCAAATAACTTAAGTTTAGAAATTATTTAATAATATCGTCTTTAATATGCTCATTTGGGCATTCCAGCTTATTTATGAAAATAGACTTTTTATTTGCATGCAATTATTATTTTAACTGTTTTATAATCTCTTATTTGATAAGGGTTGAAAATGAATGAGTATTTAATTTTAAATGAGTATTTAATTCAACAATAACAACAATTATAAACACTTTTATTACTTCTGTTTGTCTGCCTTTACTAGTTTTTCTGCTTTTTTAGTTGTGTAGCCAATCGAAAAAATAATTTTTTTTTTTTTTATTGAGTATTAATCATTTTTATTACTAATAAAAATTTATTTTAAAAATTCAAATATTTTTTCTCAGATACATTTCTGCTATGAATGAGAAATCGCATTTGTCAACCTTCAAAAACAAAACAAACACTTTAATGTGTTATGTTGAAGAAAAAATACAAATATTCCACCAAATTGGAAAAGAAGCAGATCCTAAAATAGCATTAGCTTGTTTAGAGGTAATTTTATCAATACATCCACATACAAACTTCGGGTATAATATTTTTCAATTCATTTTTAATTCACAATCTGCATTCAATACAGTTTCACAAAAGTAACTAGAAAGAAGTTGACTTTTCCAGGGAAAAAAGGAGCTGTTAAAAGGCTCCTAATTTATGCTGAAAACATTTTACTAAAAAATGATAAATATTTTTGTGTGTGGTTTGTGGTGGATGCTAAAACCAAAGAGGATTGGTTTATATATAATATTTGTATATTTTGGGCTTACTAAAAGTTAATTAGTTAAAATATTTTATGAGATCTATAGTTTTTCTATTGTTTTAGTTTTAGATTTTTTTAGTTTGTTTAACATCATTTTATAATAAATTGTTGTTGTAGTTGTTGTTGTTGTTGGTTTTTTGAGTGTGTAAGGCTGTATGGGAATGTTTGTGGGAGTGTATGGAGATGTAGTTTATGTGGATGTATTTATTTGGATGTGAGGTCTTAACATGTTTTTATAATAAAAACCTTGCATTTCTTCATTTTTCTAGGAATAAAAGATTATTATTATTTGTTTTTCTTCCCTTTCTCACTTTTTTGTTTTTACCACACTTGCCCACTGTTTTGATTTGCCCCACTTAGCTAAACATGAAAAAAATGTTTTAACTTCATGGTTGTTTTATATCTTATTTTAAATCTGGTCCATTTTTTTTTTGTTTTATTTCTTACCTGACATCTATTTTTATTTTTTGTTCTTTTAATTTGTTGTTTTTTATCATATTTCTTATTGAGGTATTCATATCATATTTTTTAGCATGGTTTTTATTATATTTCTTATCATAGTTTTATCATTATTTTTATTTTTTATCTAGAAAGTATTTTTGCGGTTTTTTTTTATATTAATAAACTTTAAGAAATATAATAAATAATATGAATATAACTAAGTTAAATATAAACAAAGGAAAAAATAAATAATTTTTGCTAATTAAGATAAGATTTTCTTTAAAATTTGTTTCTTTTCTCTATTTATTTAAAAAAAAAATTTTTCTAATTTCCATTTATTTTTTAAATATTTGTTTTTTGTATAACTTAATTTTACCTAAATGTATGACTTTTGAACTTAATTATTAAAAATTATTTTTTTACCAGAATCTGATTGCAGAGTTAAAA